ACATTATTTTGCTTGCTGGGACTGTCACAGAATACAGAGAGTTCTTTTTGTGGTCTTCTTGGTCACTTATGTGGTCACAGTTTGTGGCAACATGCTCATTGTGGTCATATCACCTCCAGCCCCACCCTGAATTCCCCCATGTATTTTTTCTTGGCCAACCTGTCCTTTATAGACACCTGCTATTCTTCTTCAATGGCCCCTAAACTCATCGCTGACTCCTTGTATGAGGGAAGAACCATCTCTTATGAGGGTTGCATGGCTCAGCTCTTTGGAGCCCATTTTTTTGGAGGTACTGAGATCATTCTGCTCACGGTGATGGCCTATGATCGTTACATGGCCATCTGCAAGCCCCTGCACTACCCAGTTATCATGACCAGGCATCTCTGTGCCCTGCTGGTGGGAGTGGCCTGGCTTGGGGGCTTCCTAGAAATGATTTTATTGCTGTGAGTGGAGCAAACCAAAACTTTTTTGTTACCGCATATCAACTTATTTAATCTTATCCATCCATGCATCATCCTACACTTCTATGGTTTACTTACTCTTTCACTTGAACTGAATACTTTGATTACAAAATGACTATATGAAATATATAGGGCATGAATGATTATTATCCTTGTTTCAGAAATTAGAAAAAATGTCCCCTGTTGGGGTTAATTGATTAGTCAAGTGTCTCTAGCTTTGGCGTGCCTAAACTCAAAATCTGCTATTTGTGATTCATCATCCAGATCTTTCAATAGCAATCCGTGTTAATATCATTTGACTTTGTGCAATAATTGGTTCAGCTCCTCCTGGTCCTTCAGTTGCCCTTCTGTGGGCCCAACATAATTAATCACTTTGTCTGTGACTTGTACCCTTTGCTGGAACTTGCCTGCACTAACACATACGTCACCAGTCTGCTGGTGGTTGCCAACAGTGGTGCGATCTGCCTGGTGAATTTCCTCATGCTGGCCGCCTCCTATATTGTCATCCTGTGCTCCTTGAGGTCCCACAGTGCAGAGGGGAGACACAAGGCCCTCTCCACCTGTGGGGCCCACTTCACTGTTGTAGCGCTGTTCTTTGTGCCCTGTGTTTTTACTTATGTGCGTCCTTCATTTACCTTACCGATAGACAAAAACATGGCAGTGTTTTATGGTATTCTGACACCTATGTTGAATCCACTCATTTATACCCTGAGAAATGACGAGGTAAAAAGTGCCATGAAAAAGCTCTTCACATAGTAAAAAATTGCAGTGGATCATGAGTGGCAAGGCAGGAAATAGAAATGATTTTATTGCTGTGAGTGGAGCAAACCAAAACTTTTTTGTTACCGCATATCAACTTATTTAATCTTATCCATCCATGCATCATCCTACACTTCTATGGTTTACTTACTCTTTCACTTGAACTGAATACTTTGATTACAAAATGACTATATGAAATATATAGGGCATGAATGATTATTATCCTTGTTTCAGAAATTAGAAAAAATGTCCCCTGTTGGGGTTAATTGATTAGTCAAGTGTCTCTAGCTTTGGCGTGCCTAAACTCAAAATCTGCTATTTGTGATTCATCATCCAGATCTTTCAATAGCAATCCGTGTTAATATCATTTGACTTTGTGCAATAATTGGTTCAGCTCCTCCTGGTCCTTCAGTTGCCCTTCTGTGGGCCCAACATAATTAATCACTTTGTCTGTGACTTGTACCCTTTGCTGGAACTTGCCTGCACTAACACATACGTCACCAGTCTGCTGGTGGTTGCCAACAGTGGTGCGATCTGCCTGGTGAATTTCCTCATGCTGGCCGCCTCCTATATTGTCATCCTGTGCTCCTTGAGGTCCCACAGTGCAGAGGGGAGACACAAGGCCCTCTCCACCTGTGGGGCCCACTTCACTGTTGTAGCGCTGTTCTTTGTGCCCTGTGTTTTTACTTATGTGCGTCCTTCATTTACCTTACCGATAGACAAAAACATGGCAGTGTTTTATGGTATTCTGACACCTATGTTGAATCCACTCATTTATACCCTGAGAAATGACGAGGTAAAAAGTGCCATGAAAAAGCTCTTCACATAGTAAAAAATTGCAGTGGATCATGAGTGGCAAGGCAGGAAATAGAAATGATTTTATTGCTGTGAGTGGAGCAAACCACAACCTTTTT